CAAGAGAGAGAGAGAGAGAGAGAGAGAGAGAGAGAGAGAGAGAGAGAGAGAGGGAGGGAGGGAGGGAGGGAGGGAGGGAGGGAGGGAGGGAGGGAGGGAGAGAGAGAGGGAGAGAGGGAGAGAGGGAGAGAGGGAGAGAGGGAGAGAGAGGGAGAGAGAGAGAGAGAGAGAGAGAGAGAGAGAGAGAGAGAGAAGCTATAAGAGACGGGACTTTCACAATTTTTTCCCCCAAATTTAACATCTACCTATGAGAGCATGCAATTAGGCTGAAGCAGTTAGGAGAGCTGGGCTCTGTGAAGTCCTTTGTGCCCAGCAGCAGCACCACTTAGACATTTGCTCGCTGCCAGTTTCCTTACCCAGCATGAGGGAACTGCTGGCCATCGTGGTGTTTGTATAGTAATCTCACTTCCTTCTGTCTGTAGTGCTGTAGGGATAGTTCCCTGCAGAATGGACTGTGACAAGATGGCCAGTGGTGACATGCCAGTAGTACCTGAGCCAGGAATCCGTAGCTTACCTGTGGTATTTAGAATGCTGTGGATAACTTCACCCTTGACCTTAAAGACTTCCTGATCTCCTTGAAGACAGGAGCTCAGATGGAAGGATATTCCTCAGAGGCCTGGTCTCCCGTGTGCAGCAGCTGTTTTGTTTTGTTAACTTCTTCAGTACTTAATGTTTTGCTCTGTGGGTTGGCTCAAATAGTAAGTCAAGTCGGGAGCCCTTCTTTTTACCCAATTTGGGTCCCGGTGGTTGATATTCAGGTCCAACCAGATGTTCCGTGAAGCTGCAGGCATCCCTCCGGGTTACCAGCACTGACACCAACATCCTTCTCTTTTCCCCCAGACCGTTTCAATTCTGGAGCAGCGACTGACTTTGACAGAAGATAAGCTGAAAGGTTGCCTTGAGAATCAACAAAAGCTTTTCAATGTCATCCAGAGAAGTTGACCAAGACACTGTGTGAGCACAGGCCAATAAATGAAGATGTTTTCACACGTTCAGGCAGGTAGCAAAGGCCATCCACCCCTGACCAAGCACTAATTAACACAGCTTCTTCAGAGAGCCAGCAACAGAACACAAGGTTCAACTCATTTTTGAGAACTAACTTAAACACATAAATCAATGTCAAGGATCAATTTTAAGCTCCTCCCAGTAATAATTGCAGTAATAAGGTGATAAGCATTTAAATCCCCCCACTTCCCCCATTTGATTTGAAATGTCAGTTTTTGTTTAAAGTGCAAAGTGCCACCAGGAGAGTAGCCAGAGCCCTAGATTTCACTGTTAAATCATTTCAGATTGACCATGTCCAAGCAGTTCCTGAAGAGAATTCATGTATTTCTTAGGTGGACACACCCTTGATGTGAAAGAGCTCGCTTCTTTCACAGAGCGAGCATCTTACGTGGAGGGGATGCGTTACTGAGCTGGCTCATATTTCTTTCAGGCCAGAAAAACTGCTCTTAGTAATGCCTCGAGAAGGTGCTCCCAGAGACTCCCCACAGCAAGCGTGAGCTTAATTAGCAGCAGTGCACACGTAACAGAGTAGCAGTTTTCCTTGCTGGCCGGGAGTGAGAACCGCACGCACGAGGCATGAGTTCCAGGCGAGCACCCTGAGTGGTCTACATCATACTGAACTTTGTGATCAAAGTTCACAGAGATTATGTTTGTGTGATTTCAGTGTGCCAAAAAGCCAAAATGATGAAAAGAAGATACTCACGCAGATACATATAAATCACGTCTATTATTGCTAAGGACAGTGCTGGTGGCTGAATAAGCCTATTTTTATTTTAAAAATTTGCATCTTGTATTTTATGAATTGTGACTTGACATGAAAGTGAGTTCTAAAAGACCTTGTATGCAAATTAAGAATATGTCTTTGACTTAAAATGAAAATCAAAGTAGAAAAAGAAGCACATTCAAAGCTTTGGGCAGGGAGAACAAAGTTCAGACACATCTGTGTAACAGCAGGGGCAAATGCTATCTGTGGACTGAAAAGGAAGAGGAAATGAAGTAAGTCCTAGCAGTGTGGGACCTGAGAAATCTGTCTCCAAGTAGTCCCAGTTGTGTACCGAGGAGCTGGTTTTATCTTCTATGTCACTGCATATTATAAATGCCTTTTCTGTCCTGTGTGATTGTCTAGACATTTTTTATATAAGCTCGCAAAACTAAGTGGCCCGGTATTTTTATACCTTCATTGAGAAGACTACATAAAAAATGAACTGTAATACCAACTTTTGTTTACTCTTTTTTACGCTTCCAACAATAAAGACACTTATCTTTAAAAAATGATTTCTTTTTAAAAAGTTGTTTAAAAACCTAGAAATGCTACCCTTGCACTTATCTAGGCTGCAGTATGCGTGGCAATCTCCTGGAGGACTCCCAGCTTCCCCCGCCTTATCTCGAGACCTTGTGACTCACCAGCTCCAGAAGGGGCCCTATGCCCTGTCTGTAACAAGCGAAGGTGAGGTGGGGTTGGTGGCCTGAGGCCCCCATTTAGGGATCACCTATCCAGCTTCAGCTGCTTCTGCCCACCTGAGGTGGCCACACATTTGATAAAAGGTGATGGTGAGAACAAAACCACCCTGAAACCTTTTCAAGAGTGTCATTTTATGACTCCCCCACCCTTTTCTCTAGCTCTTAAGGGATCTCCTTGGCCTTCGGCGGCAGCATGCTGTCCCTGCTAGCTGGAGTCTTCCCTCTTAGAGTGCTAACAAGCATTTGGTTGAAGAGGTTTTTTAAGGAGAAAGCAATGGCATCAAACAATGCGACAAGATGGTTTCTTTGGTGTTTTTCCTTGATCCAGATGTCTCCCGGACTCGGGGTCTCCCACTTAAAATTTAGATTCTTGCAATGGGCTGCTCAGGAGCCATTGCATACGCAGAGGAGGAAGAAACCTGCAACCGAGTAGCTGTTTTCGTAATTCCCAAAATGCTTGCGATGTACAGGCCCTCTGCACTCTGGACATTGTTCTCAGCTCCAGAGTTCTAACAGGAAATGGCTGGCAGAATCCCTGCCTGGGAGACAGGTATGCAGTAGATAGGCGGGTCAGATGACAGGAAATGTCCTGGAGGAAGCTCTGTCTGCAGACAGGAAGTACTGGGAGGGCTCCTGCTTCAGTCAGGTAGTTTGCAAGTGAGCAGAAGTTGAACGTTGGGAGAACTCCCTCAAGGCAAAGCATTTCAATCAAGGGAGATAGGGATGCCCTCAGCCAGAGGGGAGTTAATGAAGATGACCCCAGAGGGTGGGGGTTGGGCAGAAAATGTGCAGTTAAGATTTGAGCCTTTACTATTTGTGAGATGGGAACCACACACACGATTGCAACTGCTTTTTAGACAGTCTCTCTCGGTAACCCAGCTGACCTCCTGCCTCCGCCTGGGGAACACTCAGGTGACAGGTCTGTGCCACCATGCCGATGAGACACATGCTTTGTTGACCCAGGCTTCTTTACAACACCTCTAGCCAGATGTTCAAGGGTGAGAAGTGACAACGGGAGGGAGACAAGTGGTGGGTCCCCTGGAGTGACCCAGGCAAGAGATGACAGTGGCTTGATTATCCAGGAGATGGAGAAGTGACTGCGTGTTTTGTATACTCTAGAAAGACTTACTGAAGGGATGAACGGTGTGTGGGAGGCAAAGGAACTAGGATGACTGCAAGTGTGGAGCTAAGCCATGGAAGGAAAGGTGGTCACTCTACTGAGATGGGACCACTAGGGAAGGAATGTGGTCATGGGGGGGTGACATTTGGTGATGCCTATTGAGGCTTTTTGCTGGTCGTTGTGGTGCATGCCTTTAATCTCAGCCCTTGTGAGGCAGGTGGATATGTGAGTCTGAGGCAAGCTCTGTCTACATAGTAAGTTCCAGGCCAGACAGGGATCCATAATTGAGACCATGTCTGTCTCAATTATGGTTTTGTTTTGAGACAGGGTCTCCTGTAGCCCAGGCTGGCCTTGAAGTCCTAATCCTCTTGCTTCTGCCTTTCCAGTATATATTACACATAGTCTCATACTCCCTTCCCTGGCTATTAATTGTTTGAGTGAACAGTAACTCAAGAATCAGGCCTCACCAAATAATAAAACATTTGAGTTTCACCAGGCAGCACAAGGGAAAACATCTGCAAGGCTAGAGTGCCGATAAAGGTGGTTTCCGATTGGCGGAAGCTCTGGGGTATGATTGTGCCAAGTTGTTTGCTGAGGCCATTAGATGGAGGCTGAGGCAGTGCAGTCTAATGGCCTCTCACTTGTGACTTCAACATGCCAAAGATTACTTTGCATCTCACTCCCAGATTTCTAATTTTAATTTGTAACGTAGCTTTTGTTCTCTTTTCAAACTGTACAGAAGGAAATTGTTTAGATGTTGTGTGCCAGGAATGCCAGCACCCAGGAGGCTGAGACAGGAAGGTTGCAGGTTTGAGACCAGTCTGGACTTCATAGGGAAGCCCTATCTCAAAACACAGAACAAAACAAGAAAAGATTAAGAAGTTGGCTTACTGAACTTGGTGTAATCTATGGAACAGGATCCTGGGAGAAGAGATTCCTCTTATGGGATAGACATCTCCACTTCCTGATGGCCACACACACACACACACACACACACACATTTTTGCATGGTATTCCAAGGCGATCACCATCGGTACCCATCCTCCCATCCTTTCCCCTTTCTGCAATTTCAGTTGGCCTCTTTCTCCTCATCCTCTACCTCTTGCTCCATGCTGTGTATCTTAGCCTGGCCTAACTTTTCACCATCTGCTCTCATCCCCACCTAGGCTGAGCCTGCTGTCACCCCACCCAACTCTTCTTTGCCTGGAAACCCATGCTCACCTTTTAAAAAACAAAACAAACACCTCACAGGGGAGTTAGAAGATGGCTTTTCAACAGGTGTTGGTGGTGCACGCCTTTAATCCCAGCACTCGGGAGGCAGAGGCAGGCGGATCTCTGTGAGTTAGAGGCCAGCCTGGTCTACAGAGCGAGTTGGAGGACAGACTCCAAAACAATACAGAAAAACCCTGTCTTGAAACAAAACAACAACAACAAAACAAACAAGCAAACAAAAAGACTGCTTTTCAGTTAAGCACTTCCTGCTCTTCCGAAGGACCCCAGTTTGGTCCCCAGCACCCATGCCATGTGGCTCCCAACCTCCTCTAATTCTTACTCCAGAAAACTGGACAGGTTCTTCAGTTGTGCACCTGTGTGCCCACAGAGACCCTTAAATGGCTTGTGTTTCACAAGATTTCTTTTCTCTTGTGCTTCCTTGGCATTCTCTCCATGTCTGCCCCCCCCCCCCACACACACACATAGGCTGCAGTGTGGCGGCAGCTCTGCCTTCTTCACTCCGATTTGACTTTCTCAAAAGGCAGGCGTTTTCATCTTTAACGTTGTCACTTGGTTCAACAAGGGCTTGAAAGACCCCTCACTCAAAAACAAGCTAAGGGAAAGAGGAGGCAGGGTTTAGTTTCTAAACCAACAAGCACCCAGATGTTCCTTGAGATAAGAACAAACTCCAGGCAGGACATCCTTCCATTACTCTAGGAAGACAGATGGCCCCCACTTCCCCAAACCCTCCCAAAATGGAATTTCCCCCCAAAAAGCACCGTATGTGACCTTTTCTTTGTCCAATCAAAAATGGACTCATGTCTTATGATAATCTTGTAGTTTTTGCCTTTAAAAGGAGCTTGCTATAGCTGATCGGGGCTTTTTCTGCCTAGCCTGACTGAGGAGCCCCTTTGTGCAAACGCAGAATAAAATCCTCTTGGCTTGTTGCATCTACTGGTTTGGAGTCTGAGTCTGTGGAGTGTCCACCTGGATATGGTGGAATCCCAGGGCCTGGGGTCCAACATATGGGGGCTCATCCAGGATTAGCGACTGCTTCCCCAGACTCAGTTCCAGGACCCATTGGAGGTAAGAACGAGCCTGTCCCCTTTGTTGTCCATACTTGTTTTCGTGCAACAGTTTACTGTTTGGCTGGCTCTGAATTTGTACCGGTACAGGACTTGTAAAATTTGTTGGATCAGTGGGGGAGGCAGACGCGCCCTGAGACCCCTGGTCCCGCTCTGGAGTCCCCCTCCAGAGTAGTCTGGGGAAAAGAGAGAGACCAGGTCTCTTTCCTCCCCGGGGAGTCCGGCTTCGGTCGGCCACTCCCCTCTCAGTTTGCTGCTGATCTGTTGCCGAGGCTTGGGTTTTCTGTTCTGTCAGTCTGCCTGTTAGTTGTTCTGTGTCTTGTCCATATTTTAGTCACCGTACCCATGGGTCAGCAAATAACTACCCCTTCAAGTCTCACTCTAGATCACTGGAAAGAAGTCTTGGACCCGAGCGCACGAGTCAGTAGAAGTGCGTAAGAAGAAATGGCAGACTTTCTGCTCCTCGGAATAGCCCACCTTCTAGGTCGGCTGGCCAAGGGACGGAACTTTTAACCTCGATGCTATCTTGCAGGTTAAAGCACGGGTCCTCTAACCCGGACCCCATGGCCATTGTCACTTGGGAAAGCCTCGCTACAGACTCTCCGCCTGGGTCAAGCCTTTCCTCTCCCCACCCAGGACACAAACCCCAAAGCCAGCCCCCTGGCCATCCTCCACTCCCCTCGTACCCCTTCCCTCCCGCCGAACCCCCCCCCACTCTTCCCTTTACCCTCTATTCGAGAAACTAAAATCCAAGCCCCCACCAGACCTCCCGGAGAGTCAGGAGGACCTCTTACTCCTTGATCCCCCTCCCCCTTACCCACAACCTCCTTCCTCCCCCCTCCCCTCAGGACCCCTGTCGCCAACTGGAGGCCCTAGAGAGCCTACACTCCCCCCTCCTGACTCTGCTGAGACAAATGAGGAGGCATCTTCAGCACCTTCCCCACCGTCCAGCTGCCTGCGCCTCCGCAGGGAGAGAGCCGAGGTTCAGAGGGCGTATGGACATCGAAAGTTTTCCCCCTCCAATCAGTAGCCGGCCAGTTACAATATTGGCCTTTCTCGGCCTCCGACTTATATAACTGGAAGACTCACAATCCCTCTTTTTCTCAGGACCCCCAAGCCCTGACCAGCTTAATTGAATCTATCTTAATTACCCATCAACCCACCTAGGATGATTGTCAGCAACTCCTACAGGTCCTCCTCACCAGCGAAGAAAAACAGCGTGTCATCCTTGAGGCTTGCAAAAATGTCCTCGGAGCAGATGGCGGGCCGACCCAGTTCCCCTTGACCAGCGCCCGGACATTACACCTGCCAGTAGTGAGTAACTCCGTTTCTATTGCCAGACCCTCAAGGTGGACGAGATTGCTGCCTGGATCCACGCCTCACACGTCAAACGAGGACCACCTCAGGACAGCAGCACCCCAGACAAGCCAGCCAGATGGAAGCTACAACGCACTCAAAACCACTCAAGATAAGACTTTCAAAAACTGCTTGATGCTTTGCTTACTCCTAAGCCTCGCAGCCTTAAATGAGGGCAACCCCACACCCCTCAACAGTTGACCTGGCAGATATACTCCCAAACGGGAGAAATAGTCTGGTCCATTACTAAGAGAATGCCACCAGGCACCTGGTGGCCTACTCTCACCCCAGACTTCTGTCAGTTGGCCGCAGGGTTGGATACCTGGGACCTTCCCATGATAGGGGCCCACGAAATTCAAAAGAGAATGAACACCGTCCTACCACCCATAGGGAAGACTTGGCCGCAGGGCTGCCAAGATCCTAGGGCTAGATGTCTTCTGGCACAGATGGACTTCTATGTTTGCCCCAGACAAGGGCAGCCTAGGGACTCGGGATGTGGAGGCTATGGGGAATACTTCTGTACCAAATGGGGATGCGAGACCACGGGGGACGCATACTGGAAGCCCAGCTCATCCTGGGACTTGATTGAGGTGCATCGTAATTACTCCCGCCCCCCCCTTGGGTCGTTACGGTTGTGACCACTCTTCCAGGTGGAGCCCCTGGTCTTGCAACACCGCCACATGTCTCCCCCTGGCAATTACCTTCATATCCCAGGGTAAGCAAGATTACACTCAATGGCTGAGCGGAAAAACCTGGGGGCTGAGATGGTACATGCCATGGGAAGACAGAGGGGTTACCCTTCAAGATACGCCTACAGATAGATGTCCCTGACCCCAAAGCCATAGGGCCCAACCCAGTTCTGGGAGAACAGGGGGCTCCCAGGGCGGAGCCCAGCCATGCAAAGGCCCTCGCAACAGTACCAAGAGCTCAGAACAGCTATGACTGAAGAGTTAAAGGCCCTAGAAAAGTCTGTCACCAGGCTGGAGGAGTCTTTAGCCTCGCTGGCCGAGGTAGCTCTCCAAAATCGCTGGGGGCTCAATCTCCTCTTTCTGAGAGAAGGTGGACTATGTGTGGCCTTGGGGGAAGAGTGCTGTTTTTATGTCAACCACTCAGGGGTCATTAGGAATTCCATGGCCAAGCTTAGGGAGAGGCTCAGCCTATGGTAACGGGAGAAGGAGACCCAGCAGGGATGGCTTGAGGGATGGTTTAACAAGTCCCCATGGATGACCACCCTTGTCTCCACGATCCTGGGACCACTGATCATCCTCCTGCTGCTATTGACCTTTGGTCCCTGTATCCTCAACAGGCTGCTTCCGTTTACCCGTGAAAGATTGTCCATCACGCAAGCCTTGGTACTCACCCAACAGTACCAGCATTTAAGACCACCGAAAAGGAGGGAATGAAAGATCCCTCACTCAAAAACAAGCTAAGGGAAAGAGGAGGCAGGGTTTAGTTTCTAAACCAACAAGCACCCAGATGTTCCTTGAGATAAGAACAAACTCCAGGCAGGACATCCTTCCATTACTCTAGGAAGACAGATGGCCCCCACTTCCCCAAACCCTCCCAAACTGGAATTTCCCCCCCAAAAAGCACCATATGTGACCTTTTCTTTGTCCAATCAAAAATGGACTCATGTCTTATGATAATCTTGTAGTTTTTGCCTTTAAAAGGAGCTTGCTATAGCAGATCGGGGCTTCTTCTGCCTAGCCTGACTGAGGAACCCCTTTGTGCAAACGCAGAATAAAATCCTCTTGGCTTGTTGCATCTACTGGTCTGGAGTCTGAGTCTGTGGAGCGTCCACCTGGATACATTGGAATCCCAGGGTCTGGGGTCCAACAGGCTGTTGAATAAAGGAGTGTTTTCATTTCGGGTATTTTCAAAATTCGGGTCTTCCCTTGGAGTCAAAAGCAGTTTAGAGTGAGTGAGCTGGAACAAGCTCTGTTAATTTTTTAAATGTGGGGATCTAGAGAGATGGCTCAGTGGTTAAGAGTACTGGTTGTTCTTCCAGAGGTCCTAGGTTCAACTCCCAGCACTCCATGGTGGCTCACAGCTGTCTGTAACTCCAGTTTCAGGGTAGCCTCATGTAGGCAAACACCAAAACACAGGAAAACAATTTTTTAAATGTATATGTATTTGAGAATGAGTGGGCATTATGATGCCCTGCTGTTTGTTCCGTATCTCAGTAGTCACCTGCTGTCTTTGAAGCTGCCTGGGCCATTCACTGCCAGTGTGCCTGTAGGGAAATAGCCACAAGGGTCAGTATCTTTATCCTTGGAAGGTGAAAATAATCATGTGCATCGTTTGAGAAGGGGTAGGTAAAGTAGCCTCACAGAAAGTGCTTAATAGCTGGGCGGTGGTGGCGCACGCCTTTAATCCCAGCACTCGGGAGGCAACGGCAGGAGGATCTCTGTGAGCCAGGTCTACAGAACGAGTTCCAGGACAGCCTCCAAAACTATACAGAGAAACCCTATCTCAAAAACCCAAAAAAAAAAAAAAAGTGCTTAATAATTGTTAGCTGTTATTGCTATTTGCCCATCATGTCTCTGGACTCCATTTACAAGTAATGATTTCCTTTGTCACTGGAAGGGACACAGACTAATGTTAAAGAGGTGGGGAATAAAAGTATAATATTTATTATATTAATGTCTCATTTTAAGAATTCAACAAAAAGAATACATGCATAAAAGAAATTAGCATTTGATACAAAGGAAACCTTAGAGTACTGGCCAAATGCTGGCCATTGAGTGACTCCTGAGGAACTCAGCTGGTGAATACTAATGCCATGATCATCCTGACTAAAGGCTTAGCCAGTCCCGGAAGGAGAGGAGGGAGCTGGAATGTGAATTGAGTGTCAGTAAGAAGATTTGCCTGGAACTCTTCTTCCAGGCCCTTTGGCTATTTGCAAAAAAAAGAAAAAGAAAGAAAAAAAAAAAGTATTTGCTCACTGCTTTTCCTGTGAAGATAAGCCTGCCCAGATACTCACCTCACATTTCTTCCGTGGGTGGGAAGAATTTCACACATGCAAGGGAAGATAAGCCATCTATCTGTCTCTAGAACTACCACCGAAAGCAAAGGGGGACTCAAATATTTCGAGGTTTTGAACAAACAGTCCTAATTAAGCCATGAGTAAATTTAATAATAAAACAAAAACTAGAGGAATCTGCAGTAGATTTTAAAGTGGTAACACAGAACCAGCACGTAGCATTCTTGTTTCCCCAAATGCCTTATCCATCCTATGTCAGCAAGTCTCGGATTTTAGATTTCACACGCCAAAGGATTTATGAACGAACAGTGAACACTGAACTGTAGAAACATAGTGTGATTGCAGGGTTGTCCTCCAGCTATGACTCATCCAGGTAATGATTGCAGCCTGCCGGGGGTTTACTAGGAAAATAGGTCAATGGCTTGCTGAGAGGCAGAGGGCAACTCCGGGGTGGAGGGGGAGGGGAGTGTTGTGCATATGACTTTATATTGTACAAGTGAATCATTTATATTTTCTTTGGGGTCAAATCTCAAACATGTTCCTATTAAAAGCAGACACCCTAGCCTGTGTGGTAGCCAATGCCTTTAATCCCAGCACTCAAAAGGCAGAAGCAAGCAGATCTCTAAACCAGAGGCCCCCCCAGGGCTGCATTGTGAGCCCTGTTTCAAAAATCTAGTCCTGATTTGAGACTTTTACAAAATAAAATGAATTCCATAACTAGGCAATAAGATAAGATAAATTGATAAATTGATCACTGACAAACTTTAAGCTTCAAAACAAAAGTACCTGCTCTTCTAGTTCCAGTGGGCCTAAGTTCGATTCCCAGTATCCACTGTAACTACAGCTCCAGGGGATCTAACATCTCTGGTCTTCCCAGATATCTGTACTCATGTTTTATAGCCGAGCATTGGTGGTGCATGCCTTTAATCCCAGCACTCAAGAGGCAGAGACAGTCTACAGAACGAGTTCCAGGACAGCCTCCAAAACAATACAGAGAAACCCTGTCTTGAAAAAAACAAAAACAAAAAACAAGTACATTGGTTAAAAAATAGAAATATAATTTGTAGCATAATTAGGACTACCAATATCTTTAAAAGTAGAGTTTAGTTCATATACATAATATTAAATTATGCAAAGCCATTTCTGTGTAAGCTAATTTGTCTTTTTAGCCAAGGAAACAAAGATTGGCCATTTGTGTTCTGAATCACTTGATTTAAAGTTTTAGTCAATATCCTATGTGTCCTATATTCTAAGAGTAAATAATAAAGTTTTTTAAAGATTTATTTATTTATTTATTATGTATACAGTATTCTGTCTACATGTGTGCTCACATGCCAGAAGAGGGCACCAGATCTCATTACAGATGGTTGTGAGCCACCATGTGGTTGCTGGGAATTGAACTCAGGACCTCTGGAAGAGCAGCCAGTGCTCTTAACCTCTGAGCCATCTCTCCAGCTCCAATAATAAGGTTTTAAAGAACGAAATGTTTAATAATACAGGAAATGAGAAAAAGTAAACATGCCATAGCAAATAATATTTAAGCCCCACAATACCCTGAAGAGTGAAAGGAAAATAGAAGTGGTATGGATCAAATTAAGTGGGGTGTCTGTCACCAAAGCCACCAAAGTATGAAGCAAACACCTCTCTGAAAAGTGGCGTAGCCGTAAGTAGAAGGCAGCGCAGGAGAGCTGAAGTAGAAGAATGGGCTTTTTGAAAACGTTAACATTAATCATGGATCACAAGGGAAAACACTTGGTTCACTCCAGGAGGGATTCAAAATGTGGTCACCTTAGAGATCTGCCATTTACACATTTACAGCTGTCACTGAAGATTCTCAAGTGCCCGGTGACAAGGTGGACTGTAAAATGTGAGAAACAAGCCCAACAGAAATGTGCTTTGTGTCACTGTTTTGGGAACTGTTAGTGGCTTTGCATGGTGGCTAAGTGTGTACCTTGCGTCTAGTTCTAGGCTGGCAGGAGATGGAACCCTCTCTCTCTGTCTCTCTGTGTCTCTGCCTCTCTCTCTGTCTCTCTGTCTCTCTGTCTCTCTGTGTCTCTGCCTCTCTCTCTGTCTCTCTGTCTCTCTGTCTCTCTGTCTCTCTCTCTGCGCCAAGGATTGAACCTACCTCATGCTTGTTAGGCGAGCACTCTACCACAAAACTAAATAAACCCTCAGTCCTCTTTGACACAAATTCCTTTGGGGGGGGCGGGAGGGAGAGTTTGAGACAGGGTTTCCCTGTGGCTTTGGAGTCTGTCCTGGAACTAGCTCTTGTAGACCAGGCTGGTGTCAAACTCACAGAGATCCGCCTGCCCCTGCCTCTCGAGTGCTGGGATTAAAGGTGTGCGCCACCAACGCCCGGCCTGCCACAAATTCTTATCCTTCACAGTCACACTTCATTCTTCTGCAGATGTCAGGCTTTCGATAAAACCTAAGTGAGCAGAAGGCAGTGTGAGAAGAAGCCTCTGCAAACAGCCTCCCCCCCTTACTGAAAATACACCCGGAACTGTGGCTGAGGAAAAGGAGGGAGAGAGCGAGGGGAGGACGCAGGCAGGAGGGAAAAAAAGGTCTCCTCCCTCCATCTCCTTAAAGCAAAAACATATGATGAGACATCTACTGCCTTTAAAATTATTTCAAAAATAATTGTGTCCACAAAATAGTACCTGTTGAAAGTTTTGTGGGAAACGATATAAAGGAAAAAGGCGTGTTTTCTGGTAAGACAGTCTTCTGCTTCATTCTGTTTGCCCAGGATCCTCCTGCTGGGATCCTGAGAGACCTCAGCAGGGCATGCTTGTGCCACTAGATGCTGGATTTCGGGGAGCAGTCCAAAGTTGGGGGAAACGGCTTTTTGCTGAGGCAGCTTCGGGATACTTTTGCCTGAATTAGTTCTAATGAAACAGTATCCTACCTCAGGTTGTTTCCTCTACTTAATCCCTGGAGGAAATCCCTTTGCTTTTCAGAGATAAAAAGTTAGGAGAACAAAGAGGAAGTCGGGGGAAGTGCCCGGACCTTTGCTATAGAATTTCACAGAAGCTTTCCCAAGCCCCAGGATAGAGCCTGAGGGCTGTGCTGTTTATTCCCACACCTGGATTGAATATCAAGGTCTCTGAGATGAATCATTCAGAAGCCCAGTGTTGCAGGGGCCTTTGCTCCTTCAGAACTCTCTAATGATGACTGTGTCAAAGGCAGAAATCACACGGAAAGTTCAAAGTTACTAAATCCCCTTTCTGCACCACTTCCATTGAGCGAGTGTCTGGAGACTTGTTTTTGGCATGAGGAGGGGAGCCCTCCAGGTGGCATTCTCGTGCCTGGCAGCACCTGTCTGAGACTTACATCAATGTTCATTTTCAGCTCACACAGCGATTAAGGCAAAAGGCGCTGCCGGATTTGATGGGGATCCAGATGTGAGCAAGGAAAATATGTATGAAAGGAGCGGAGGGCCTGACTGTTAGTGCCAGCCACCTTTCAGGGAGCATATCCAAGCCCAGCTCACTCCCAAAGGGTCTTGTGAGTCCAGCAAGGGAAGGAATTACTGTGCCAAAGTAAAAAGCTAGAAATGTGAAACCCCTGAACTATGTGTGTTGACCACTAGGTATCTTCCCGTGGTGATAGTGATGGTGCAGCAGTTAATATAGCAACCGTCTCACCCCTACCAAGCTCAGCCTCCTCACCCCTGCTCCCTACATCCCCTACCAAGCTCAGCCTCCTCACCCCTGCTCCCTACATCCCCTACCAAGCTCAACCTCCTCACCCCTGCTCCCTACATCCCCTACCAAGCTCAGCC